GGGCCAACAGGCAAGTGAAAGTTTCCTTGGGCTCTGAAAGTGGATAACAAGGCTGATTCATAACAAGTAATTATTTTTGACAGCTATATCTTGTTTGCCTCTTCTGCTGTTGTGAAATGTAAATTGATTTTTACCATCTTTATTTCAAAGTATTCCTCCCGGCGCGGTGGCTCAGGCCTGTAATCCTAGCACTCTGGGAGGCCAAGGCGGGGCGATTACTCCAGGTCAGGAGTTCACCGAAATCAAAGTATTGTCACTGTGCTCCCACTGGGTACATGGGAAGGTCTCATTTCTATTGGGCTGGAAAGTGCTCACTCCCCTCACCTTCCACTCCTATTCCATCTAACATTCTTTGAAAATATTTCCATTTTAATGTTTCTATGTTATAAATGTTTGTATGTGTGTTAGTGTTTTAAAACAAAGCAACAACAAAATTACTATGTGGATTGAAACTGCTTGATAACTAGGCCCCTCTATGATTAGAGAAATTGAACAAAACCAGCGGATAGAGGGGCAGAAGAATTTATTCAAATTTCCCCTTATGGCGGTGGTGATTTCACATCTGTATCTAGGCGTGAAAACGTTATTGTGGGGGCACGGGACCTAGCACTAACCGGCAGCATGGAACCCACAATCTCAAAGTCTCAGCACCATGGTCTTACTAACCTAGCCAACCAACCAACGCTCAGAACCACCGCTTACTCCGTAATACCTCAAAAGTAGCATTTTTTGTGTGAAATTTCTTTACCAAAGACATAGAAATCTCTTAACTCTTCTTCCACCCAGCCCCATCCACATTAAAGGAAAAAGAAAAGAAAGCAAGCTTCTCTTTTGTCAAGGATGAAGCTTGACTTTCAGAAAACTAGTTTTCTCAAACCCTGGAATTCCGACTGGAAAAATACACTGAAGCGGTCAGAAATGGGCTCTTTCCTCCCACCAACAAAAACCCAGAAACGCTAAATGGAGAGTTAGATCTTGCCCTCAAAATGTTCCTGCACAGCTCTTGACCAGGAAAGGAGCCAAGGGGCACAAGAAAAGTCGGAAAACAAGTCTTCATTCCTTCAGCAAACTCAGCACACTTCTGACAACCTTATTCCGCCAGCAGGCTCGGAGAGGACCTGACCCCGCTTCCTTGTTCTCCTTCAGTTTTTATACCCTTGGTTGGACTCAATAAGCGTCCAATCAGCAACAAGCTTTAACATCCAATCAGCAATAGTGGGATTCAAAAAGTATCCAATCAAGATTGCGCAACCAGCGCGGCCGGAGGTCGGGAGCAGGCAGCTGAGCACCCAGCGCGGGCCAGACCTGTCACAGACATGGGCACATCGGGCTGGGACAGCGGGCGTCAGCTCGCGAGACTCGGCTCCAGTAGCGCGCACCCTCTGGGGCCTCCTGGCGGGCCCATCGCCGGGGAGGCAGTGAGCGGCCACGTCCCTTCGCCTGATGGTTTTCCCTGTCAAAAACATAAAAGAAATTTAGCTATCATAACAATATCTGACATTTGGGTTTCTGTTAAGAATGGCTCTTAAAAGAAGGCAGTGTTTCTACTGAAGGGAAAGAGGAGTAACACATTAAGAAATTATTATTTGTTAGGTATATTGCTAGATATTTTATAAACAATATTGATTTTAATCCTCACCATTGTCCTGTGAACTAGGAATTAATATCTCCATTTTACTAATGAAGAACTTGAGACTTGCAGTGAGTCAATGGGAAAGCCTGAATTAGAATAGATGATTCTTGGGCTCCAAGGTCCATGCTCTTTTATGTTTAGACACCAGTCTATAGGTTTTCTCAACTTTAAAGTAATCAGGATTCAGTATGCAATAAAGTTGGCATTTCAAATCAGTGACGAGGTGGGTTATACAATAAATGGTGTTGATAATGAAACTGGGCTAGAAAAAATTCAACATGAAAAATCTCTAAGACGAACCCAGGAAATACTAATAGACAAAACCCTGCATAAACAAATGAAGAAGTCAGATCTGAGATGAAACAATCAACCGATTCTTACCTAAGACTGGTAGAAAAGAAAATAAATTGAACTTTGAAATGAATATGGTGTTGTGAGAATAAAATGGACCTACTCTTTTAGATTAATCCAGCATTGCTATACCATAATTCAGCTATTGTTTTTCAATATTTTATATTTAAAGATAACTGTTGTACCTAAAATCTTATACAGCAATTATTATGTACCAGACACTATATATATGCTTTAAATGAATTAACATACTTAAAAATAACAAATAACTTATGAAGTAGGCATTATAATCATGCTCATTATAAAGATTAAAAACTGAGGACAGAGTTTAGAGTCAGCATTCTGATAGTACAACTTTAGAGAACTTTTAACTAAGTCATTACACTGCTTCTTAAAATCATGTACATCATTTTGTCAGTGGATGACCATATTCTGAGGAATCCTCATATTCAAATAAACAGATTTATAACATCCTGATGTATGCCCTACAATGTTAATTATTCCAATTTTCAATTAATAGTAATCTCCTCATCACTAATATTGTATTTGGACTATAGGACTGATGACTCCTATCCTAGATAAGGAACTCTGAGCATCAGGCATGTGCACACCACTACCATAAGAGGGAGATGCTTTCTAGGAAGTTTGTTTTAATTATTTAGTAATTTACTTCCTTTTCTTTAGTTCCCCAATAGGGAAAGAAGATACATTGAACGTAAAGACGCTAGAAATTAATTGATTCATTTTTTTCCTTCTTTATTTCTTTCTGAATTTTTTTCTTGTTACATTATACAAGTATTACATATAAGGATTCATTGTAGAAAATGTAGAAAGTGTGGCTATCCACAAAAAAGAAAATAAGCATGGTCCATAATCCCACCTTTTAAATATAATTACTGTTTAGCACGTTTGTTGAATGGATTTCAAAATATATATGTATGCATGTTCATTGGGTTTACATTTGTAAAATGTTTTTTTTTTTTTTTATTATTTTATTTTTTTCTTTTAGTCTAACTTGAAGCCTTTGGATGTAAAATGTTTTTTAAAGAAATATGAAGTCAGGCCGGACGCAGTGGCTCACGCCTGTAATCCTAGCTCTCTGGGAGGCTGAGGCGGGCGGATTGCTCAAGGTCAGGAGTTCAAAACCAGCCTGAGCAAGAGCGAGACCCCGTCTCTACTATAAATAGAAAGAAATTAATTGGCCAACTGATATATATATAAAAAAATTAGCCGGGCATGGTGGCACATGCCTGTAGTCCCAGCTACTCCGGAGGCTGAGACAGAAGGATCACTCGGACTCAGGAGTTTGAGGTTGCTGTGAGCTAGGCTGACGCCACGGCACTCACTCTAGCCTGGACAACAAAGCAGGACTCTGTCTCAAAAAAGAAAAAAAAGAAATATGAAAACTTACAGAGGAAGTGCAAAATAATACAAAGAACTCATATTCTCTTCATACAATGTTGCCAATTGTGAACACATTTTCTATATTTTTGTTTGGTCTCTCCAGCTTTCATATTTGCTTATTTTTTTCTCAAATCATTTGAGAGTCAGTTGCAGGTGGTATATTTTTAAAGAAAATATTTGTGTACAAACATTTTTTGTACTTTAGTTTGTCACTTAATATTTCCTGTATATCTTTTCATGAGGGACAACCGATTGCCATATGGAAAAGTGAGAGATCAATAAATATTTGTTGAAATTATACATAATTTCTTTGATTATTGAGCAGCTTGGGAACCCATATTTAAACCTCTTTGAATCTCATATGGCCTAAGAAAGAAAGTGCTTTGTTCATATTATAAGAGAAAATTAAGGATATCATATTCACCACACTTTTTTCCTGGGGCCTGTACTTTGTACAATGGATAAGAAGTTTCCAGATTCAACTCCTGGCTAACAGGATCAACTCATTTGAAATATAAGCTCTGATTTTGACAGTGTACAAAGTTGAAAGTATAATTTTACATATTCAAAATACATCAAGAGTAAAGTGTAAATGCAAAACAATAAGTAAATAACATGCTCTTTTGTGTGAAAAAGCATTAAAAAATAAGAATCAATAAAAATACTATTTACATTGAAATTGAGGGGTTAATTTGATCGGGTTTGCCTGCCATGCTTGCTCTTGGTCGTTTGCCCTCCCTCCCCACTCTTTTCCCACAAAGTCAAAGATCACACATTGCAACTTAACTTGTACTGGCTACTATATATTTAAACATTGCTAATGGTGTTTTCAGTTGTTTTTCCAAGAACTTGGACCAGCTCCTGTCCAGTTCCAACCAGGTGAGACCACTGGCCCTTCAATTGGGCCTAGTAAGTGCACCAGAGATGGCCTTTTGACGTTGGAGGGCCAAAAAATACCCCCTTCATATCATGCTACTGTGCCATTTTCTGTAGTCATGTGCTCTTTGAAATGTCATGAACCCCTATTGTACTGGGACAGAATAAACCCATTACTTTATTTTCCCCCCATGCTGCCAATAACTTTTCCTTATGTATTAGACCATTCCAATCCAATTCCCTAACTCATAAATATCCCTTAGCCTTATCTTCAGGGAGACATTTTAAAGCTGTTCTTGCCTCCTCTCTTCGTAGCCTTATGATTAAGTCTTTTCTCTTTTGCAAAACCCACATCACAGTGATTGATTTATTATGCCAGGGCAAAACAAACCTGGATTTGCCCAGTAACAACACGTGTGTAAATAAAGAAAACCAATACGGATATATAAGAAATTAAGGACAGTTTGCCCATGGGAGGTGGTGAGAACTGAGATGACGGAGAATAAGCATGGAAGGAAAACATTTTTAATATATATATTTTTTAATTTCTACCTTTTGAGTCACATGAATGTATTATTGATGCAGAAATCCTTAAGTAGAAAAATATTTTTAAAATCATGTATTCTTTTCAGTTGGGATGTGTTCAGAGTATATAAAACAAAAGATCTTTGTTATTCTCATTATTAATGTTTTGAAAAAAAAAAATGTTTTCCCACTTTATCTTGTTTCCTCTTAGGCTGAACCAGAGAAAGCAGAATGAGTTATATTAAAGGTAGGTGGTTTTACAACTTGTTTTCGGAAGATGTAATCAAATAACTCAGTGTTTTATTCCAAGAATCAATTTCCCACACTGGAACAGAAGCCAAGACAGTTTGTGTTGTCAGGTTTCCAATTTCTGGTTTTGTGGGTGGTGAGAGAGAGAGCCTGGACGACCCTCTCAACTTTAGTTGAGCAGGCTCTATCACCGCAAGGTGGAAAGGGAGTTCCATAGAATGGTAATTTCAGACTCACTTTTTTTCAGCACGTTAAGCCTATTACCCCTATAATGGCTTTAAAAACAGTACTTAGCCTTGGCCCGTATGGGGATCGAACCCGCGACCTTGGCGTTATTAGCACCACGCTCCAACCAACTGAGCTAACCGGCCACTGTACTTTCCCTTCTACCCATCCAATTCATAAATTACTCTCAAACAGCATTGTTTTACCAAAGTTTATCCTAAGAAATAGTTCCATTCATTCTCCTTCCACTTTCCCCCCACCTAGACAGGGGATTGGGAGGCTCCATATTTACTTTTGACAAACCTTGCTTCTTTCGGGGAAACAGTCTTTCTCAAACTGCCAGTTCTGATCTGAGAAGATTCGGGTCAACGTCCCCAAGCGGGGCTTCCTGCCTCCTACCCGGGGTAGGCCCGAGCCGAACCTGAAGCTGCTCCACGCCTGAGATTGAGGCGAGCTGATCAGGGGACCGACCATGAAGCCGTCGCAGGGCTCAAAGGACTCCGCTCCCGCGCAAAGGGTGCAGATTTTTCTCCGTTCCTGGAGACCATTCTAGGCAGGCTGGCTCTTCCCGGAAGCTTCAGGACCCAGATCTACACCCTTTTCCAGCCTGGTTTCTGGGTGGTTCTGCCGCTACCAGGACTCTGAATTCTCAGCTGCACGCCGCGGACTTGCGCCTCCTAGAGCGAGAAAGTCACAGACTTAACTCTGCAGTGCCGGTCACCTGACAGTTGGTGGCGCCCGAATGAGGGCTGAAGTCTGCGGGTCGGAAGGGACGGTGGGGAGTGCCTCTCGTGAGCGTCTGACCCTGCTCCGTCCCTGGGCAGAACCCAGACCCCCAAATGAGTAACAGGGAATGTGAATCCAGGGCATGTCTCAAGTCAGGACCGTTATCTTCACGGGAGAGAAATCCCGGGATCTGAAAGGGGAGTAGGAACCGAGGCCAGGGTGTGACACCTCAGACTGCGAGGTGTGCCGCTCCTGGCGGGGCCTGATCCACCTGCTGGCAGGTGTCAACCCAGGGAGGGGAAAGTAGAGCAGCTAATTCCTGATTTACCCTCCGCTTTCTTAGCAAGATTCTACTTCTCCCCTCCCCCTACCACGACTGTTTCTATTAGTTAGGGGAAGTAATATTTTCAAAAGTTAATTGGCCTATTACATGTTAAATGCCCTGCTTACGTTTGCTCCCTTCATTTAGACGTATATGCGTGCATATATGTCTATACATTATTTGCTCTTCTTTAGATATGCACTACTAGCATACAACGTGTTTAATACTTGATATTCACGTTTTTTTCTAGAAATGGAAATCATATCTTTTGACTAGCCAGATTTGCCATTTATTTTCTAACTTTCCATTTAAATTCATTAAATATCATAAATTAATTTTTGATATCATAAATTATAATTATTTAATATCATAAACCATAAATTATTTTCCCTGGCCTTTAGCACCTTTCACTAATTTTGTCTGTCTTTTTAATCAACCAGTAGATATCTTATTTTATCTTGTGTGGTGAAAATGCTGAAAGTTTTCAGCACAGAATGTTATTATTATTATCATTACCGTCATTGTTTTACCAAGGCACTTGCTATGGCAAATGATCTCTGAAAGACTGGGCCATATTTAGACTTACTTTGATCTCAAGAGACCAAAGTAGGCATCAGTCACTTCTTTTTTGTCATAGGTCAGTTGCCTGGGAAACAGACACTGAGAGGGAGATTTGTGTGGAAACAATTTATTGTGAATGCTTTCAAAATCAACACCTGTGAGAGGGTGAGGAGGGCAGCGAAGAGAAAAGGCGCAAGCTGAACTCAATGCAGTTGCAACAGAGGGCCCAACCCATCTCACATGTGTATTTGAGTCTGGACAGACCCTTCAGAAATGTCCTTAATTATGGTGGGTAGGTGGGAAAGGCAGGCCTATGTAGTTCCTGGAGAGAGACCCATTTGTGAGCCATTGGTATAGTCAACATTCTCATAGCTGAGAAATGAGTGAGTGCTACCACCTCACAGTTCTTTTCTTACAGCAACCATGTGTCAGATATATGTTAATTTTTGACCAGTAACCCCCTACTTGTCCATACTAATAGAGAGGAGAGCAGGTGTGATTAAAACAAAATGATGGTTAATAAAAAGTCAATTCATTTTTCGTTTGGGTTCAACAAAGGTCCCTTCGTGGCCACTAGAATTCACAGTGAGTCTAGTGGCAGCCATGTTGGGACGGTTTCCGAACGCAGATAATCATTTCAATCCAGCCCCTGTATTCACCCCTCCAACAGAAAGTTGTTTCTTGGTTTTGACTGAGGCCCACATGTGTATTTTTGTCTGCTTGTTTTCAAATCACCTGAAAAACTAGTTACTACCAAAGAATTGTTGCAATTTATAGAAATGTGAAATTATATACAAATAATATATAACTAGGTCAGCTCATAGGGTAGGGTGGACTCCGTGGCTTAGCTGGTTAAAGAACCTGTCTAGTAAACAGGATGATCCTGGGTTTGCAATCCCAGAGGGGCCTCTACTTGAATGTCATTAACTGTTTTTATAATTTCACATGTTACAAAGTAACATCACTGGTTAAAAAGGAATCAACTTGAATTTAGCACCGATGAATCTTCTAACACTCAGGCTGGAATATTGGGATACTTTGGACAGAAGTAGAAAGTGCAACAAATTCATGAAAAGCATTTCCAATACATGCCAGAAAGCATATAAGGCTTGGAATAATTGTCCTGACATCATAAGATTAGCAGTGGATAAGTAGTCTAGTGTAGTGGAGGCTTGCTCATTTGTCCTACCATTTGAGATTAAGTGATGGAGAATCAACACCTTTAGAAATACATCCTTTCATATATTCTTTGGATATGCCTGATTACTGAGAGAGATTTAATTGTTTTGCAACCTCAGAACCCTCAAAGCACCTGGAATAGAGTTGACAGTCAAAAACATTTTTAAAGGGGACCATTAAATAGCTAATGGCTTTTCCAATTTTAAAGCAATGTGTAGAAGTGAGTATCAATTAGCTTTGGAGAACAATGAAGACATCGACCTATAGTCAGTGGTGGAGACTTGAAATTCTCTACCTTTACATCTTCCCAGCTATTTTATACACTTCCTAGTAAACCTGCAGTTTCCCTTTGCATTTTTGCTTAGTCCTATTCTAAAGACAGGTAAATAATAATGATGATGATAAAAAGAAATGGCTAAGAAGTCTAATTTAAACATTAAATTGAGTACTGTGATAGCTGTTCCCCCTTTTTGAATGATTCTGGACTCAAGACATCACCAAAATTTTTGAAAACAGGAGACTGTAATGTCATCTTAATAGAACATTCATTAGCGACAAAATTGATAAGATATTTAACAACAGACTGGAAACAAATGAAAAATGAATTTTGAGACCTGAAGTCTTAGAGTCTTTTCTAGGCAGACTTTTACATTAAAGTTCTGAAAAAAGACATTAAACCCTGAAGAGCATGGTGTTTCTGTTTTATCTGCTGTTTCTTTTGGCATTCTAAGCTATACCTTCAAATTGTATGTCAGTCTGTACAAATGCCCACTCCCCCATCCTTAGTAATATGCAAAGAATTCTGTAAGCAATAGATTGCATTTCTAAAAGCTTCTTACTCCTTACTGTACATAATGGCCCGACAGATTATTACTTCTTTGTTAAGCAGGTGAGAGTGCAAATGTGTCAGAACACTGATGTTTTTAAAGACCTCTTAAAATGGAATTGAATCTAATGTAGTGATATTTATGCTTCCCTATTAGAACTGAGTTCTTAAAAGTACTTAAAATACTAAATTATAAAACAATTTTTAAACAAGACCTGGACATTCACAGTTGTGTCGTCGCTAAAAGCACCTCCCTCTGATTGAAATACTATTTCTTTCTTGACCTAAGATATGTATTCTTTGTTCAAATAGAGCCTCCTTCTCAAGGGCCAAATGTCACTTGGCCTGGGATCCACAAATGGGCAGCTCTTTTATGATTTTAAGGTAGGCTTGGTGTTGTCTTAGGCTACCTATATTGTTCTTCCTTCTTCATGTCCAGTTGTCCAATTCCCAACATTGGGCACTGAATAAACTTTAGTGAATTGATCTGGATGTTTCTAAAAAGGTGAAAGGTAAGGTATTGTAATGACAGAAAATGTTAGGAAAAGAGAAATTGTCTTGAGAGGTGTTTTCACCTGGTGTCCAACCAGGGAACTTTAGTGATATGAGGCTAATGTAATAACAACTACACCACAGACAATGACTTCCAAACATTGTCACTCTGCAGATTCAGCTGAGATCTTCTGGAATCAACTGCTTTTGTTATCTGCTATAGTATTTCTTCTCTTTATTATGACTATTTAATGCTGAGGCTTTGTCTACAATTCCACACAAGCAACACACTGAACTTAGGAGTGTCCAGGACTCACAGACTGTTAAGTTTTATGTTCTCTGATCCTCACACCTAAACCATTATCACACTTGGAAAAATCTCAAGCACCTTGGTGCTTTCCAGGACTGACATTTACATGTGAACTTGATTGTGGAGTCTGGAGTCAGTTGTTCCTGCATCTCTCAGAATTTCTTTGTTCACTGTAGGGACCTTGGCTGCCTGCCTAGAGCTGATCATCCCCAAATATCTATGTCTAAATGAAGTTTCTCCCAAGCTTCAAACTTATATTTCCACCTGGATTTCATACAGGTACCACTAGCACACCACAAACTAAACTTATCAACAATCCTGTTAACAATGCTGGGTTAAACTTAACTACTCCCATACGTTTGCCCCACCATCAAATCATGACAAAGTCCTGCTGATTTTACCTTCAACATATATGAGGCGTTTCTTAGACCAAGGTAGCATGAGGAAAAATATAAACAAATTTTTTTAAAAAAGAAAAAAGCTTAGAAAAAGAAAATAGAAATATATGTGAGGCATTTTTGCCCTCTGTTGGTCCCTATTTGGGCCCTCAATCTCTCTTCTTTACCACAATCTACAACAACCTTTTGCTCTCCCTGTCTTCCTGATTGGCGGTCTACATTCATTCTTAACAGACCAAAGAAATTTTGGTTTAAAATATAAAATACTTCTTTTTTAAAAACTTTTCCTTCTTCTCTTACTAATATATACATTTAAACCTATAAATATCCCTCAAAGAACTGCTTTAATTTCATGTTGTATTTTCATTCTTTTAGTGCAAAAATATTCTTTAGTTTCCATTGCACTTTTCTTTAACTTGGGGCTTATTTAGAAGTGTAGTGCTTATGTTTTCCAACATCTGGGAATTTTCTAGTTATCTTTTTGTTATTGATTTCCACTTTATTTCTGTTGTCCTCAGAAACCATATTTTAAAAATGACTTTAATTATTTAAAATCTATTGAAATTTGATTTATGGCCTAACTTCAGTGAATTTT